TCCAGGAAAAAAAACATGACATGTTTAATACTTATTTTCCCCACTGTATATCAATTTCTGGATCAGAAGAAACATAAAACAAATGCCCCCGACCTTGCAGTATTTTGCAATAAAAAGGTCTGTTCTCTTCTGTTGTTCAGTGAAGCGCAGCTGGAGCAGAACATGAGGAACCGACGGCCGAGCATCAGCCCCATCATCACCTACCAGAAGGAGCAGGAGGAGAAAGCAAAGGCCGCGGCCGCAGCAGGACCCGTCGACATCAAAAAACTGATGGCCAGCAAACTAGACCGCAAATAGGAGACTCGCTGCAAATACTACACCTACAATCTGACGGATAACAATATTTTTTAAAAGTTACCCAGAAATGGTTTAACAGGATAGTTTGCCATATTTGGTCATCTAGTCCGATTTTTTTTCAATCTTACGTCATTACAAAACTGTACAAGTTTCTGTTTTCTGTCGAACAAAGTAGAAGATATTATGAAGAATGTTGCAAACCTGTAACCATTAACAGTAGAAAAAACAAACACTCTATATGTCAATGGCTATCGGTTTCCAGCATTCTTTCAAATTTAAATATACGTGTTCAACAGAATGAAGAAACTCAGTTAGGTCTGGAAAAACAGACAGTCAGTAAATAAAGACTCTGTGGTGCTCCGCATGTACAGGTCCAGTGTAAAGTCTCATATAATAGAGCTATACACTAAATCCATACCAAGAAGATATAAAATAACTGACAGCTTTGTATATATACACGAGTGCTAAATAGCTAATTCCTATAATTATGTCCAAAGTATATTTTTGTAGTTGGCTAAATTACACATTTATTTTCATGCACTGATTCTGTTCAACACACACACACACACACACACACACACACACACACACACACACACACACACACACACACACTTTACACTATAGGTCTCAAACTGGATTCCTGGAGGGCCGCAGCTCTGCACAGTTTTGCTCCAACCCTAATCAAACACAGCTGATCGGAATAATGAAGGTGTTCAAGACTAATAGACTATTAACAGGTGTGAGTTGGAGGTGGTTGAAGCTAAACTATGCAGAGCTGCAGCCTTCAGGAATTGAGTTTGAGACCATTGGTTTACACTATATTCAGTCTCTGTTTCCCATTATAGCGTCAGCATGTTTTGTATGTGTGCAGTAGTTACAGTAAATGCATGTATCTTTTTACTGTAAAATAATTAAAGTCAGCATGGTGATTGATGTGTGATGGTTTATAATGGATGCATAATAGAAGATAATTAATATAGCCCTATATTTATTTACCTTGCTTTTCTATTTGAACAAACCCTCAGCTCACAGCTTTTGATTTCCACAACGTTCTGGGAATGTTATTTTATGGTTGCAAATTGAGAAGCTAAAAATGACCATTAGGGAACATTCTGTTTAGACCAGGGGTGCTCAAACCTTTTCTTATTAAAACCAAAGTTGATTGAGGGGTAGGCCGAAGGTTAATATACCAAACTATTATA